TCTGCTTTGCTCTGTCCGCCGGCTGCTCTTGTTGTGGGGGCGAATTGCTTGGGTTTTGGGTAAGAAACAGCCATTAAATCCCTTTGTTTTTCCTTGAAGTGGCTTGGGTTTACTTTAATTGCTCTTGTTCCTCCAATTTTGGGTTAAACCGTGAGTCCCCTGCAGAATTTTCCTTCCATGCCGCCGGCTCTTCCCCAAATTGTAGCTTCGGCCTTGCTTGCTGGATTCTGGTATGTGGCAGCCTTAAACCATTGTTTTTAAGCTTGATTAAGGTAGAATTAGCTTGATTAGTTTGCTGCCGTGTGATGTTCGAATTTGATAGAAAATTGGGGATAATTCTGGTAGCAATTAAGTGAATTTATGTGATTAAGTGTTAATTGATTGCTGTGTGATTTTTGGAGAAAATCCTGTGGAATTAGCTAGTGTTTTGGCCAATTTGTGAAAGTCGGGGTTACTGTTCATGTCTGGGTTACTGTTCACCGGTTACTGTTCACACCACGAGGGCCAACAATTAACGGGGATTTAAATGATTAGTTTGTGATATGAGAACGAATTTGGAGATGTCCGATCATGTGGAAAGCGATAGAAATAGCATTGTGATTAGGAATGATCCTAATAATGATTTCAGCTTGAATTTGTGATAGTCCGGTATTAATTTTGAGGTGTTTTGATTAGGTTCCCGATCGTTCTGTCAGTTTAGTGTGTGAATTGAGTGCTCGGTTTTGCGGAGTGAGGTAAGTAATTTATGGTAATGCTCGTACTGTTTTGAAAGCATGTTTTGATTTGTTTTTTTTGAAGTGGTGGTGGGACTAAACCCGTTTTACACAAGTATGACTGATTTGAGGTGAAATGTTTTATGCTTTTCACTAAATTGAGCATGCCTACTTGAAATTTAAGTGATTGTCCTGATGATCTGAAAGTGACTTGAAAGTGATTGTGAATTGTGATTTTCCTGTTAACTTCTGCCTGTTTTGTCTCCGATGTGGTCATGTTATTCGTGACCCTGTTAGTGGGGGAGGTTATAAACACTAGTACATGTCGGCACATGTAGATATGTTATTCGTGACCCCGCTAGTGGGGGAGGTTATAAACGCTATTACATGTCGACATGTTAGTGAGAGAGCCGGTTCGTTCAACCCAGCTAGTGGGGGTTATACACCTGCAAATCGTGGCCCTGCTACTGGGGATTATACACTGGCCATGACCTATAGAGGAGACGTCTATTTCGTGCCCGTACTGTATCCGTTTTTCGTGATTGTACTTGTTGACATGCTTTAAGTTTGATAAGGGGCAATCCATATTTTACTTACTGAGTTATCTCACCTTGTTTTTCTCGTCCACCGTCTCAGGTAGTGTGCCCTGAGACTCGGAAATCAAGGGGAGTGACATGAAAAAAAAAGGCTAGCCACTTGAGATTTGACATAGATTTTAGATACATGTACACCACGTTCCTGTAAGTTAGATTTTAATTGGAAATTTTATGGTATCAAAACTGATTTTGTTCAGTAAGTTCCGAGCCTTGTGCACTTGTGGGACCCGTCTCACGAGTGCACGATGTCTATCGCGCCTCGGATTTGGGTTCTGGGGCGTGACAGTCCATTTAACATTTTTGGGGATTCTTCACATCTTTAACCTAGATTCTCTAGTTGGTGGAAGGAGTAAAAAAGATTTGTCTAATAGTTAAAATATCATTAAAGGTTTTTTGTCTTGTCATTTGTTTCCATTTTTTATTTAGTTTTGGGGCCAATTGAGGTCACTTAGTTTTTTATATAGATTACCCACCCATGAAAAGCCATACACCACAAGAAAACTCACATTTAGTAACTAAATTATTGGTCATTAAATACTTATTTTCCGTCACAAACTAGAATTAGTGATGAAATTTATATTGTTAGTAAAACCCTTATCACTATTGTTCTTAATGTCGAATTTAGCACTTGTCACAAAAAAGAATTTGATAGTGATAGAAAAAATCAATATTGCAAATAAGTTATTTATAACAGTTTTATTTGTCACAAAAAACATTTTTTGTCGCAACAATTTTCGTCATAAAATTTATAACTAAGTGACAAAATTAAACGTCATAAATACTCAAGAGTATTTGTGATGAAATATTTAGTCATTAATTATTTAAATTGATATTAAAGTAAAAATGATATTTTTGTAATTACGACACATATCCATAACAAAAAATCTCTTCATGTTAGATTTATTTAGTCACAACTTTATAATTTCACAAAAGATTTATGATTTAAAATCTAAAATCTATAAAAAAAAAAAAAGAATTTTATTAATAAAAATTTTGATAAATTCTTAATTATATAAACATATTGCTAAATAAAAATTAACAAATAATAATCTTTAAATATATTATTATATCAATATGTAGTACAAAATAGACATAAAAATAACAAAAAAATGAAAGAAAAAATATAATACATCAATAAACACTGCCTTCTTCCTTTCTATATTGTCATCTCCAGCCACCATCTAATTCCCTTGCTTTTGGTCTTTCAAAACCAAATATAAGGAGGAGATAAAAAAAAAAAAAAAAATCTAAGGCTTGCTTAATCCTCTTAGTCCCTTGAATTTGGCCATCAATCTAAGGCTTACTTAATCCTCTTCATCCCTTGAATTTCCCTGCAAGAATTTTTCTTTCTACTTCTTTCATACTTGGACCTGAAAGAACTTTAGGTTGGCCATAAATATGCAAAATTTATTATAAATAAGTCACCAGTAGCTAAGACTTGGGTAGGTTGTTTAAGACATTTGATTTTAGAAAAAAGAATTTCAAATCTGTACAAGAGAGGCAGGGAAGCCCCACCATTACAATGAAAAACTTGTTATTTGAGAAAAACAAAGAAAAATATTAATATTTATCATAATAATAAAAATTGAGTTCTTATTTAAATTATGAGGAGCTATTTATTTGGAAACAAACAGTAAAAGAGTACCTTTATTAATCAATGTCTACACAGCCTTAAAAATAAACAAATAATAATCTTTAAATATATTATTATATCAATATATACTACAAAATAGATATAAAAGTAACAAACAAATAAAAAAACAAAAAATAAAAACAAAGGCAATTATTAGCTGCTGAGATATTTGGAATTATGCACCTTAGCCAAGGTTGCTTGACTCCTTTGCTCATTCCAACTTGTATTGCATTGATTCTCACCGTTGTACTCTCTTCTAAATGACATCTCAACATGGATAAAATTAAATAATTATGCTATTTAGTAACAAATAAAATAAGCACAAAAAATAAATTAAATTCTAATAGTTTTGATTCTCAAGGAATGATCTTTCAACCTAAAATGGGGACATTTGAAAATTTAAAAGCGATTTTTCTTCCTCCTTTGCTCCCTTCTTGCATTTTGGAAATTTAGAAAAAAAAGAAAAAGAAAAGAAAAGCAAAGAATGCACAAAATTCAAAATAGCATATATACCAAGAATAGATATCAGATGTTTTAGTGAAAATCTAAAGTGATTAAACTCTAGAGCGAAGTAAAGGGTGAAAGAGCAATGGATACTTTTGAGAATAGAGGAGTGTAGAAAATTAATCTAGGGTTAAGATATTTAATATGTATATTTAAATGTCTAAAATTTAAATGGAAAATAATAAGTATGAGAAAAAAAAAGTGAAAAATGATAGATATAGATAATTACCGATTGGTTTAGATTTTAGAATGATTGAAAACTAGATGTTTTAAGTCTTTGAAATCCCTTAAAGCCCAGATGTCATCTTATCTTTGTGGGTTTTGTACATCTTGGCAAGGTACCCACATGGCTTACTCGTACCCATGTGGCTTGCCCATACCCACGTGGCTTAGTTAACACAATAATTATGACATGGTGTGGTTGACGGAGTAGACGTTTTAGGTGAACGTAACGTGCCTTAACGGAGCAACCGCATTAAATGCGCATGGTGTGTTCTGACGGAGCAGGTCCCTTGAGAAGGGAGACTCAGGTAAGGACAAATGATCGGGTAAGGGTATTCTTATTGTAACTGCCATATACTTGTGGTAAAAAGCCGAGGTGCGGCAAGCCTTGACCCCTGTCCAGTGACCGGCAGAGAATCGAGGTGCGGCAGACCTGTGTCCTGTCTATACATGCCCTTACACTATTCCCCTCCTCCCCCCCAAAGTCATTCACTTGTGAATGATGAAAGGAAGATGAGAAATGTATGAATGGTCACAATCGAGGTGAAAGACTGGTCATGCGTTTTGGGTCGTAGCCGAGGTAAAAATGTATGGCACGCAGTCGTGTTATGGTCATAGCTAAGCGAGATGACTCACTGTGGCCGTAGCCGAGATAACATTGGTGACACAAGGTCAATACGGATGGAGGCGAAGCTAAATGAGTGGACTTGAGATCAGTGGTCGGAGACGAAGTCAAGGGAGTTATTTGAGGTCATTGTGGCCAGAGCTGAAATAAAATGAGTGACTTGATGTCACTGTGGCAGAGCCGAAGTGAAATGAGTGACTTGATGTCACTGTGGCGAAGCCAAGGTAAAATGGGTCACTTGATGTCACTGTGGCCGGAGCCGAAGTACAATTAGTGACTCAATGTCACTGTGGCCGGAGTCGAAGTAGAATGAGTGACTTGATGCCATTGTGGTCGGAGCTAAGGTAAAATAAGTGACTTGATGTCACTGTAGCCGAAGCTGAAGTAAAATGAGTGACTTGATGTCACTTTGGCCGGAGTCAAAGTAAAATGAGTGACTTGATGTCACTGTGGTCGGAGTCGAAATAAAGTGTGGACACTTGGTAATTTTGTGGACAAAAACATATATGAAGGGGTTCCAAATGGGCCTTAAATGGGCCTATTTATGAAGCCCCAAAGTTGGTTAATGTACCAAAGATAGCTATCATTGAAGGACGTGCAGTAATAAATATCATCTGCAAAAAGTAACTGTCACATTCAAAAGGACGTGACGGTAAATTAAACAGTGCATTTGAAAGGGCAAGGTTACAACTGTTGAATGCAATTGATCGTGACCATTAAGATCTGTATTTGCCGTGATATATATATCCACACTTAATGCAAAAATCTAATTCCTTTTGCTGTTAACATTGCGAAAAACACGTATCGATTTTTTTGCATTCTGCGTTGTTCGTCCTTTTTCAACCGAAATCAGGTAATTTGTGAGCGTCTTTTTTCTACTTTTCTTTATAGTGAGAATGTTTTCTGAAGAGACGGTTAGTGATGAAAGAGTTAGGGGGAGGGATTTGGGGGTGCCCCTAAATATTTTGGAGAGAGAGGATGAAAGGGAGGAGAGTTTCAACCCTGAGGAAAAGATTGTTTGTGGGGTGATGGGGTATGAAATGTCTCTGGAAAATAGAAGTGGTTTGGCCCACTTAGTTGAAAACTACGAGGTGCCTAAGCATGTGTTAGTGAGGCTGGCAGGGAGGAGAAAGAGGGCTTGTTCAGCTCAGGGGGCCATTGGATGCCCTTATATTCCCATTACCTGGCGGCTAGGCTGCGGTTCCCCATCCCAGACCTGTTGGTGTGGTTGTTGATGGAGTATGGTTTAGGGTTAATATAGCTCACCCTAAACGTTATGAGGCTACTAATAGCCTTTGTAGTGTACGGTTGAGTTCGAGGGGTGTCATTCCCAACTACAAATGTGTTTGAGTATTTTTATGTGTTGAATGTTGGGAGTGGTAAGGAGAAGGGGTGGTACTATTTTACGGGTCGAGTAGTCAATAAGAAGAGGAAGGATTTGTTTAGTGTTGGGCCATCTTCCATCAAAGGATGGAAAGATAAGTTTTTTTTTGCGGATGACACTAAGTGGGATAAGACGGATGCTGAGGTGGAGAACCTGAGCCGGTGGAAGGCAAAAGGGTTGAACCTCAATGAGTATAGTCTGACCTCAGGGGAGTTAGAGGATGTGAAGGTGTTGGAGAGGGGGAATGAAGGCATACTAAATGTTATGGAGTACACAAGCCAGAGGATGGTAGAGGCGATTGAGATATATGGGCCGACCTCGTGAAGCGGAGGTATGTAATTCAACTATTTATTTCATTGGAAAGTTCTTATCAATGTTTTAACCTTGTTTTGTTTTGTAGAAGAGATGAACAAGTTTTTGGAAGCAGCTGGTGGAGTTGGCACCCCTAAAAAGGGCAGGGGGAAGAAAACCAAGGTCGGAAGGCGAGGTGAGGGGGCTTCGGTACCTCAGACCGAGGTCCAAACCTTAGCTGTTTCTCAGCCTAGCAATGTTAAGGATGAAGTGACAGCTGTTGAGGAAGGGCCCATTATTGCAAAGAGGAGGAGAAAGGAGCAACAAGAGGCTAGGGAAGAGGTGACGGAACTTGCCACTTCATCTCTTTGTGTTAAGGTTGGGCCTTCAGCCACAGCTGCTGACGTTGCTACTGCATTCCAGGAGCAGGGGTATATCCGTCTGCAGACAACAAGCTTATATGATTCTGGGATGAGAAGCACAGCAAAAAGGTTCATCAACGCCTACTTCCTGGAGGTGAATTACCAATGTGCAAACAATGAGGTGGCGACCAGAGGTTCAATTAGGGTGGTGCGTTAGGCCCTGAGGTATGATACTCTTATCTTGTTTAAAGTTTTGAGATAAAATTTTCTTAACTATTTGGTGACTTAAGTTTATTCGATTGTGTAGACTGTAAACCTCGTGAATGCATTGGCGAACGAGCATCATGAGAGTTTGAGGGACAAAAATCAAATGAGGAAGGAGAACGCCTAGCTTGTTAAGAAAAATGAGAAGGCCGAGGTCGAAGTGGCAAAGCTGAAAGCGAAGATGGAGGAACTCAAGGAGGACGCCACTTTAAAGAAAGACTTAGAGCTCTCATATGAAAAGAGAAAAATCTGTGAAGACGAGCTTAAAAAGAAATAAAAAGAGTTGGACAAGGTGGCGAAGGAAGCAGCTGAGTTCGAGCTTAAGGTTCACAACTCTGTTAAAAAGCATGTGGAAGGGTTTTTGAAGTCTAGCACTTTCGAGGATATTGTCAACATCTACCGATTCCCTACGGCAATTGTAGCTTTCTCTGCTTGTCGAAAGAAGGTGAAGTTGTAGTATCCTAATGTGGATGTGACAAAAATCACATTTGGAGATCAGGAGGGAGAAGTGGAGGAAAATGGGGAGAGCAGTACTGCTGACTTTCGTCCTAAGGTTACGCTAAAATGGGACAGAGACAGCAGAGGTCGAACCAGTTTAGCTTTAAAGTTTAGTTTTGAGTTCGTAGCGGTAGGTGACGAGGGGACCGAAGGTGCTGACAACCTAGATCAGCTTGTTGAATAACTTCGCATTTTGTTCATCTTTGTAAAAAAATTTGTTTGTAAACGATTAAAGTATTATTTAATAAATTCAGTTCGACATTGTAATGTATTGGTTGTTTTTGTGGTTGTTTGAACTAGGAGGGGTTAAATACTCTTTATTAAGGTGGGAGAAATGGAACTAACTTCATCTTGAACTTTATTGGAATGTTAATTGTTTACAAAAGAAGGATGTTTAATACAAATAGTGAAATATGGAACTTTCAAGGGTGGAATTTCTTAAGATTGTTAACATTCCAAACCCTTGGCACTCTTTTGCCTTCAGAATCTTGGAGAATGTATGCACCAGGGTGTGGGATTTTGATCACAATGTATGGGCCTTCCCAATTCGGTGCTAGCTTGCCAAAGTGGGTCTCGAACCTTGTGAGCCCAGCCTTTCTAAGGACTAGGTCACCGATTCTAAAGTTCTGAGGTCAAACCCATTTATTGTAAAGGCTGGCTACCCTCTATTTGTACGCAAGCGTTTAAAATCAAGGTTTTCTCTAAGTAATTGCTCATTTTGAACTAGTTCAAAATGGCTAACTTTTAAGCTCGGAACACCAATTTCGACAAGGATAACTGCCTCAGTGTCGAAGGCCAAGTGATAGGGCGTTTAGCCTATTTGAAGAAGACTATAATTTTAGGATTTGCTTTAAGGGGCAATTTATGACTTGAGTCAAGTAATGAAAGAGGAGATTAACATCAGGGGTGTACCTATGGCAGTTCAGCTCTTAGTTTGGCAAGCCCATAGGACGTTGTTGAGCTCATCTACCCATTTTACTTTCAATTTATCTACTCTTGGCTTGATTTCCTCCAAGATGGCTTTGTTAGCTGGTTCGACCATTCCATTGGCCTTGGGATGGTAAACAGAAGTGAATACTAGTTTAATCCCGTAACTGGAGCAAAAATCTTTAAAGGAGCTGCAGTTGAATTAGGGATCATTATCAACAATAACCTGGTTTACTATCCTGTATTTGCAAATGATTGAACTGACAAGAAAGTCCTCAATTCTTCTTGAAGTCAAACAGGAGAAATGCTGGGTTTCTACCCACTTAGTGAAGTAATCGACGGCAAAATCCAAGTGTGTTGCTCCCTCTACTGCTTTGACGAAAGGGCCCAAATGATCTATTCCCCATTGGGCAAAGGGCCAAAGTGCAACCATGTTGGTGAGTTCTTCAGCTGGTTGATGGGTAAGATGAGAGAAGAACTGACACTTCTGGCACTTTTGTACAAACTACTTTGCATCTTCTTGCATGTTGGGCCAATAGTACCCTGTCGAAGTACCTTATGGGCCAAAGTCTGTGCTCCTACGTGGCTTCCACATACCCCTTCATGTACTTCTCTTAGTGCATATTCAGCTTCTTATGGCATTAGGCACCGGAGGAGAGGTAATGAGTAAAACCTCTTGTATAAGACATCACCAACTAGGGTGTACCGGGACGCCTTTCTCCGAAGTCTCATCTCTTCCTGTTTGTCAGCTGGGACAATTCCATCTAGGAGATATGCTCTGATGGGGTCCATCGAACTGGGAGCTTCTGGATTGGTCCTGATTTCCATTACCTTCGATGTTTGAAAGCTTGGTTCATTTAATATCTCGACATAGATAGATTTCACCCCTCCGAGCTATCGGATGCTAATTTTGACAAAGAATCTGCATGCTCATTTTTTGCTCTCGAGACCTTCGTAAGTTGGAATTTTTCAAAGTAACATCTCAATTCAGAGACTACGGCCACATACTTTACAAAAGTGGGGTCCGTGACCTCGCATATAGAATTGATTAGATTGACCACCAATCGTGAGTCATTATATATTTGTAGGTGTCTGATCTTGAGCTCAGCTGCCAAACGTAGTCCCAGGAGGAGTGCCTCGTACTCAGCCATGTTGTTCGTGGCTTCGAAATTGAACTTCAAAGCATGTTCACTTCAAAAATTGTCAGGCCCCATCAGTACTGTTCTAGCTCTTGAACCCTTGCTATTAGATGACCCATCGACATAGAGGGTCCATGTTTTAGCCTCGGAACTTGATCCCCCCTGATTAAACGTGCATTATACTATGAAGTTTGCCAAAGCTTGAGCTCGAATTGTCGACCTCTCTTGGAATGTTATCTGAAACTCTTCCAGCTCTACTGCCCATTTAATGAGCCTCCCGGAGCATTTTGGTTTCTACAAGATCTGTTTTAAAGGTTGATCAGTCATCATGATAATAGGATGGGATTGGAAATATGGCCTCAACTTCCTTGTGGTAACAACAACTGCTAGAGCTGCTCTCTCTGTTATTGAATATCTCTGTTCGACTCCTTGTAGCACCTTACTGGCATAATATACTGGTCGCTGCTATTTCCTTATTTCCCTGATCAAAACAGAATTGATAGCTGTATCAGATATCTCTAGGTAAAGACAAAGGATTTCACCTTTTTCAGCCTTAGTCAGCAAAGGCGGCCAGCTAAGGTAGGCTTTGAGCTTGTCAAAGGCTGCTTGACAGTCAGTTGTTTAGTTAAACTTCTGGGGTTTTCCCGGTTTGTCTTTCTGAGTTGCGGCTCTCAAGACTTTAAAGAAAGGTAAGCCTTTATCCGTTGATTTAAAGATGAATCTGTGCAGAGCTGCTACCCGCCTAGTTAGACGCTACACATCCTTGGTTGACCTCAGCGGTTTCATCTCCTTTATTGCTTTTATCTTTTTAGAATTGACCTCTATCCCCCTTCTGGAAACCATAAAACCTAGAAACTTGCCTAATTCAACACCAAAAGTGCACTTCGTTGGATTTAACTTCATGTTGTATCTTCTAAGGTTGTTGAATGTCTCAGCCATGTCAATCAAGTGATCTTCTGCTCAAGGACTTTTGACTACAATGTCGTTTACATCAACCTCTAAGTTTCTGCCTATCTGAGCTTGGAACACGATTGTTACCATTTTCTGATATGTTGCTCTTGCATTTTTGAGCCTAAATGGCATCATCACATAACAATAAATTTCATCCTTAGCATAAAATCAGGTTTTCACTTCGTCTTTAAGTGCCATGTGAACTTGATGATACCCCGAGTAAGCATCTAAGAGACTTAATCTCTCATTTCCTGAAGTAGCATCTACCAGCTTGTTTATGTTAGGCATAGGGTGACAGTCCTTGGGGCAGGCATCATTGAGATTGGTGTAATTGATACACATTCACCATTTGCCGTTCGACTTTTTTACCATAACAAGATTAGCGACCCATTCACAGTAATCTACCCTCCTCACGAATCCAGCCTGTAATAGCTTCTGCTTGTAGTCTTTCTCCTCCGAACAGACGTCTCTTCTGAAATATCGATTTCTTTAGAAGGTTGGTGCTTAACTTGTGCACTGCAACTGAGGTTGGGACTCCAGGCATGTCGACTAAAGTCCAGGCAAACACATCCTTGTTTGCTTTCAAGAAGTTGATGAGCTTTTCTCTTTCCCCTGGTTTTAGTCTCGTCCCGATCTGCGTCCTTCTGGTGGGATCATTATCATCTATCTTCACTTCTTATATTTCTTCTACCGAGGCAGCTCTGGCTTCGTCATCTGGTTTGTTATCTAGTAACTCCACACCCATTACTTGTTGGGTACTAGGTGCCTCTGATTACACTGGTTCTAGTAACTAGAATGACTCCTTATCCTTCCAAGGTCATATAGCAGTGTCTGGCCACCTCTTGGTTTCCCCTTAGAGTCGCAATTCCCATAGGTGTGGGGAACTTCATGCATAGATAAGATTGCGAGATAGCAACTCATATTTCTATTAGGGTGGGCTCTCCCACTGTGATGTTGAAAAATGAGGCCATTTTCACAACTAGAAACTAGACTGAGGTGGTGACATTTGTTCAGCCTGAACCGAAAGCCACGTTGATCTTCAGTACCCTTTCAATGGGAACTGGCTGATTGTTGAACCTGTAAATAGGTCCATCATATTTCTGCAAGAGGGCTAGGTCGAGGCCAAGATTCTCAAAGCAATGATAGTACATTATATCCGGAACACTTCCAGTGTCGACAAGGATACGATAGACTTCACAGTTGTTGATGATGATTGTCATGACTAGCAAGGCCAATGTGAATGTTATGGGTTGGTCTTTCCACCCTTCGTCATAGAGCTTCCTCTTCTGAGCTTGGTTCTAATGCCTAACTTCCCTGACATAGAGTTTTTGCTGCTTTGAGCTCATCCCTGCTGCCTCTAAGCCCCCATTTATCATATGAATGATTGTAGCTGGGGTAGGGAGCGGAGGTGGAGGTGGAGGTTGTTGGTACCTGACCCCCATCTTGTTACCAGCACCTTGGGGCCCTTGGGATTTTGGGTGTTGTTCCCTTACAAAGGTCGAGTGGTCTTTATTAGGGATGAACTCATTCAACATCCCCTTCCGTGCCAAGCTTTCGAGCTCGAACTTTAACATATTGCATGCTTCTGTTATATGGCTGTGATCTTGGTGGTAGTCACAATATTTAGTGTGATCTCTGGAGGTGAGTAAGCTCCGTATAGGCAGTGGCCTTCTAAGATCTATTTTGTTTTTGTTATTTGCATTAAGATCTATGACCTCAGTAGTGTACATGCAGTCCAAGTGGGCTGCCTTCCCATGATCTGCGAGCTACTCACACCAGGCTTGTCAACCTTGGCGGTTGAGAATGGACCTTGGTTTTGAATGGCTTTGAATTTGTTCTTGCTCGGCCTTTCTTCCCTCCACGTGGGGCTTCTATTGTCCTTGATGGTTAAGGGCTTCTGCGACAGCACATATTCTTCTGTAGTGATGAAGTTGCGAGATCTTTTATTAACCTCTTCAAATGAAGCAGGAGGGTGTTTGATCAAACTGTTTCGAAATCGCTCATGGCCAAGCCCTTGGGTGATGATGGCGATTCCCATAGCTTGGTCAAACAAATCGATCTCTAGTACAACGTCATTGAACCTATTGATGTAATTTTTTAGGGATTCTCCTTCCCTTTGGACCAACTACATGAGCTTGACTATTGTTTTCTTAATTAGCCTCCGACTGGAAAATTTGGTGGCGAAGGCCATTGCCATCTCAACATATGAACTGATTGAGTTTGGTTTCAGACTATAATACCAAGTTTGAGCATTACCACATAATGTGGATGGGAATATTTTGCACATGAGGGCGTCCGAGGCATTATGAGCCTGCATGATAGAATAAAAGGCGTGCAAGTGGTCATCAGGGTCTTTAGTTCCGTCATATGTCTCGAACTGAGGCATCCTAAAGCTAGATGGGTATGGTTCCTGGACAATGTAAGGGGAGTGGATACGAAAGTTTAGTTGGTTTGGCTTGGGGCTATAGCTCTGTTTTCGACTATCATCTTTTCGAGGTTATTTAGCCTTTTGGTGACGTCTGAGGCTACTGGTTGGGGTGGATTAGGGGGCAGAGGTGGAAAGTGAGATTGTAACTGGGAGGCACTCTTGGGGGGGACAATGCTCCGGATAGGGGAGTTAACAGGCTGTTGTTGTTGATGAGGAATTATGGGGTGAGCTGGGTTTAGTAAGTTGATAAGAGGGTCATCAAGGCTGTTTCTGGCTAGGAGTTGTGCAAGCACTAGCTGGAATACTCCGAACTGTTGCTGCATGGTATTGAGTTGGGAAGTTATGAGGTCATTTGGGGCAACGACTGGGTGTTATGGGTCGTGCTCTCTTGTTTCTTCCATATGTTGGCGTTGAGCAGTAGCAAGTGGTACATTCTAAAGCAGGGGGTTGGGATTCAGGGAGCGGTCTCTTCCACCACCTCGAGATTGGCTTCCATGCTGGGTCGAACGTTTGCGAACCATTTTAGTCCTTTTGTTTTTCTCAGGGCTTCTTGCTCGATTTCCCACGGATGGCACCAAATGTTGTTGCAAAGAACGTTCAAGATCTTCCTTTTGTATATCTTCTCTCCAGGTAGACCTACAAAATCCCGAGGTTGGTCCTTGGGGAAAAACTTCGATGCTTAAGTTAGTATTTTTCTAGTGAGTGTTCTCCTTTAACATTCTGTGTATTTATCGTACCTTTCTTTGTGGGTTTTGTACATCTTGGCAAGGTACCCACGTGGCTTGCTCATACTCACATGGCTTAGTTAACACAATAATTATGACATGGTGTGCCTGACGAAGTAGACGTTTTAGGTGAACGTAACATGCCTTAACGGAGCAGCCACATTAAATGCACGTGGTGTGTTTTGACGGAGCAAGTCCCTTGAGAAGGGAGATTCAAGTAAGGACAAATAATTGGGTAAGGATATTCTTATTGTAACTGCCATATACTTGTGGCAAAGAGCCAAGGTGCGGCAAGCCTTGAGCTTTGTCCAATGAATGGCAGAGAGCTGAGGTGCGGTAGACCTTTAGCTCTGCCTGTATCCTGTGTATAAATGCCCTTACACTACCCCATTTGGTTTAGGACTCAAGAGCAAAGCAAACAATGATTTTTGATTTTCCTTTGTTTTTATGTGCACTCCTACTTTTTATCTTAATAATAAAATAAATTATTTATTATTTAATATATATTAGGGCTTTTAATTTAATATTATATATATTTTCTAATTTGAAGAAGTTTAAATGTACTAGAAATGTAAAAAAGTAGATAGTTCACATTAGTTACCTTTAGAATTTGTTTAAAAATTGTAATTATCTGGTAACAAAATGATAAATTGAATATATAAAAAAAAGAGTAAATTGAAATTATAAATATATATTGTGTGAATACATTTTATTGAATTTAATTATTCTAGTATATAAAATTAATATTATCTTTTTTCAAGTCAAAATAAATTTAAATTCTAAACATTTTTCTATGGAAAATCTCCACCCTATTAGAAAATGATTTATTTGAATTTAATAATTTTGTAGTTGATATTATCAAAAACCTTTCACTCCATTTTATTTTAGTAGTAAATTTTGTTAAATTTAATTATTCAAATATAAAAAATTGACATTATTTAGTTATAATCAAATTGGAGTAATATTTTGTTTATAAAAAAAATATCAATATTGACATATACTATACTAAATATAAAAAGCAAGTAGTGTTACTTCTACTTCAAATATCCACAAATTCCTAACGCAAAGTAGTGATGACACCTAACCTGTGTCAAGTTTTAGGGTCCTTATGCAATTTCTTCATTGGTAAACTAGTAAATAGAGTCGTTAATCTTTTACTTTATAAATACTTTGAATTTTGTTTAGGATTTTAACTTTTCTTACTATTAAACTTTTAAAATATTTTAACTTAAGTCCTTATACTTAAGTTATTATGCAATCAAGTCTTCTTTCCAAAAAATAATTATATGCTTAAAATATAAATTTCAAAAAAAATTTAGTTATTAAAATTTAATATGAGTGAAAATGGGTCAAATCTATTACTAATATTTAAATTATACCACAATTGTGATCAGTTGTAGTAATAACTTTTATAAATGGAAGCCTATATTCTATATATAACAATTTTTTAGAGATAATTTATTTCATCATTATTGAACATGTAGTCATGGTGACAAATACTTAAAATGTATTATAATTGTGATAAGTTATAATGATGATTATCATTCTCACAAGTCTACATTTTCTTCGTAATGGTTTTTAAGTGATAAAATACCTTTTAGCGATTATTTTTTTTTATTATCATTGAACATATAAGTATTTATGACTAATATTTATAATTCGTTATAATTGTGATGAATTGTAGTGACAAATCTTTTCATTACAAACCTATATTTTTTTTGTAACTGTGTGGTAATGACAAAATATTTTTTTAGTGATGAATTTTTTCCGTAATCATTGAACATGTGTGCATTTATGACTAATTTTTAAAATGTGTCACAATTACAATGAATTATAATGACAATTTCAAAATTTATCACAAATTTTCATCACTAAAAGTCCTTTTTCTTGTAGTAATAATGACCTTAGTTGGCATAAGTTAGCTTGAGTTGCAGTGATAAGGAAAGAGATGACAAAATGTTAATAGGGATGTTAGGCACATGATAACTTGATGTTAATTTTGGACTATATCCTTTAAATCAAATAAGTGAACGGCTAAAATGTTAGTGTCTATGGTGAGGGGCTAAAAGCATTAAACTTGTTAAGATAAAAGGTTAAAGGTAGGTTATGTTTTCATTTAACGTGTAAAGGGTTTCAGATTTCAACCCTTAGACAAGAAAAATTTATATTTACATGACATCATCAACTTTTCAAAACCATCTTTGTCTTTAAGCTTATAATGTTAGTAGCCTTCCTCCATGCCATTGCTTTGGTGGAATGTTTTAACTTCAATTATCCATAAATTTGATTAAACTAATAATAACATCAAAATAAGCAAAAATTCTTTCATATTCTAATATGCTATTAGAGTTATGCTGGACAACAGTAAAGGGAGTGTAATGGTAAATCTATCTGGATGAACTTAGTACAACTAGTGGTTTAAGCTCTAAAGAAACAGTAGAAATATAGATTGGATTAAGGTTTCATTAATTTAATTCAAAATTTGGGATTAATATTTCACTAGTGATGGTTGTTAAAGGCGAAGTCTTGGCTTTCATATTGGCAACAATTACTATCATGTTGAAAAATAGTAATGGAAAGTGACCTGACATTATGCATGAAAAATCAAATGGATTGTCCCAACTAGTGGCTATAGAATTTAACATGGAGAAAAGCAATTCGAAGGATTTTGTTGATAATTATATTGGATTGGATGTAGGGAGCATATACTCTAACAAACAAGTTCGTATTGTCAACTTTAAAATTTTAATTTCGGAGATGATTTCAAAAGTTTAATAATAGTTAAGTACTAGCTTTTTTTTTTTCCAAATGAAAACATAGGTTTCACCGAGTGGGTATAAGGCTTGACAATGGAAAAGATATACAAGTCACAAAGGCAAGGATAAAAACATGATTGTTTTTGTTGCAACAAATGAAACAAGGGAGTGCATCACAAAATTTTCTTCTTATGAGGTTATTGATCTCTTTTATCATCTTTTGAAAGATGTTTATTGCAAAGTTCATAACTTTAATAGGTGATAAATTAGAAGTAAATATTGTAAAATATTGGAGTTTCTAAAGTTTTAATATAAATACGTGAAACTTGTATGTATAATTATTGAATTTTTAGAAGATGATTAGAGAATTGGGCTTAATTAAAAATTGGGCTTTAAGATTTTATACTTGGGTATTTTTTAATGATTGATATTTAAATTGTTGATGAATCTCAGTTTGACTTTTATTTTGTTTAAAGTTGTGTACATTCTAAAAATGTATTCTCACTATATTTTAAGTAAATTTACTTATAAATTAATATTATTAATATTCTAATAACATAATGTTAATTAATTGTGATTTTTAGGAAAAAGATTGGAGTTAGAATGGTGATTATTTAGTGGATGTTCAAGATCAAGGGATGTGTAGTAAGTAAAATAATTTTTGTTATTTTTATTAACTATTATAGGAGAAAAAATTTGACTTGTGCATCAAAATGATTGTAATTTCCTTTTGCCTTGTCAATTCCATTCTTAGTAAATAACCCTTTGAATTATTTAAACTTTAATTGTTTATTGCATTTTTCCAAAACCATATATCCTAAACAAATCCACACTTCAATAATTAATATTTATATTTATAAATATATATTTGTCTTTTTATAGTGTTGTTGGGCCACAGTTGCATGTAATACAATTAACATTGTCTAAAGCTTTATTTTAATAATCTTTTAATTGTGTATTCTCATTAATAATTAATTGATTGTATAAAGAAGAAAGGAAGAATGAGAAGAATCATATGTGTATAAAGTGTTCCTATATTGTTGCATTTGAACATTTAGAGCAATGGAGCGGCTTTTGAAGCCATGATTGTAAACCACTATTTAAAAAAAAGAAATTATATAATATTGTTAAGGTAAAACTCTTATTGTATGTTTAAATTTATAAATTTTCAATTTTAACATACAAGTAACCAAGATGACCAAAGGAAAAAAAATACAAGTAACTAAAATTTTCTCTCCCCTTTTTTTAAATAACATGTTCATTATTTCATGATTTATGGATTCAAAGATTTAAAATATAACAGAGTGCTTAATATAATAGATTAAGCAATCAAATTGTGTGTGAATGTATATAACATGAGGTTTAGGGAATTTAAGGGTGATTTGAGTTTTTTGAATTGAAATCCTTAATTTATTTGTTAAATGCAATTAGGTTAAGTATACTTATTTATTAATTTTATATATTTGTGTAGTAAATTTACATTTTTTTATAAGAGGATGAAATGGAGTTGATGAAAAATATTATGCTAGAAGATCTTAGAAACATGGTTTTAATTGTGAGGCATGGTGTTGAGCACATCATACCTTTTTTTTTAATCAAAATTTTTAGAATACAATAGAAGGTAGTAACAAATATACAAAGGTTAAGAAGTTTGCTTATCGACTTCTATTATCCCAATGTTGAAAATATGGAAGAAGCAATGGGTATTAATCACTATAATTGTAAAATTAATAAAGTTAAGAATGTGAGAGTCGCAATAATAATCAAAGTAGTGATGAAATTATTTCAATAGAACTTATGTTTTGTCTAATGCTTATTAATGCATAAGATACGCACCTTTTTTAAGTAAATCTGATTAATTATACAATATAAAATGAGTAAGATATTGTCCCCTCAAAAACTATTCTACACTATTTAGATGATGTTAATCTTGTATGTTCTTTTTATAGCATAGAATAATTATTTGAAAAATGATTTTAAAGAGTTACAAGTATCAATGGGTGAACTTGGCTTTTCTTCAGTCATTACTTTACTTTAGCTTTCATTTAAACTTAATTTTTAAGTCCTAATAGATTCCATAAATCGTATATTTATATTCATTATATGCATTGGTTACTATGATCCTTTTCTTGGTTTCTTCCCCTCAAATGTTTTAAAACCTCTAATGCTTTCAATTTTCTTTTTTTTTTTTTGTACAAGGTTGGTTCTTATTCAGTAATTCACCAGGTTGGGATTTTGAGAATTTGAAGTAAACATTGGACTAAGAATAAACTTGTTTGTTCTCTGCCCTAGAAAATAGGACCAGTAAAAAATATGGTGAATTTAGGTGGACTTACAACTAAAGAATCCAAGCAAACACTTTTTAAGTTAATTTGGGACTAACAATATATTTTGTTCTCAAACTTGTCAAAAGTGAGATTCAAGTCTAAATTTCAATACTACATTTATAGGAAACAAATTATTTTGGTGGATTTTGCTATATTTGTGATTTTGATCTTTTTGATTTTTATATATTATTTGGATGATTATTAATGATAGATTTGGTTATTGTCTTGCACTATTTTTCTGAAATTTTCATATTAATTATTTTGGATGACCTTAGTATGTTAATTTCACCATTAATTTTTAATATTTTCTTTCATTTTGTTTTTCAAGATTCAAATATGGGAGGCTTTTTTATGAATTATTTTGATAAATTTGAATTTATATTGTTTTTTGTATTATATAAAGAGTATATTTGGTGGATGTTTTAATAAATTAATTATTTTGATAAAGTAATATATTTTTTTAGGTTAATTAAGGACATTATTTTCTTCAATGTAGGCAAAATTTGATAATTATTAAAAAATTTTAAATATTTTATGTTGATAAATTTTAATGAATTTAAGAATTTGATAATATTTTAAATTATGAGCAATTTTATCTATATACATAAATTATAAAAAGAGTTTTTCTAACTATGTTAGAAGGATATAGGTTAAGAGTTTTTAAAAAAATAAAAAAAACCACGTAATTTATTAATTATTTAATTAAATTTTTTCCTGTGGTATTGATTTTAAAATGAATGTTTACTTTTATATTTTTTATATAAATTTATTATAAAAAAATACTCTTAATTTGTGCCATAAGAACACAAATTAAAAAAAAAAACTTATAAAAATTATCTAATCTAATCTTATTACAGTGTTGTCAATTGCACATGTTATGGTAATATACTAGCCATAGCATATTGTTCCTAAGGTATACTGTTATAACAGCTAGTTGTAGCGTAACAGTTTTACAATAACGCTCCATCACGGAACAAGACTTTAGCAAGTCACTGTGTGACATTTAACTCAAAAATAACCCCTGAATTGAACCAAGTCAACCTTTTTCCCAATGCAAGTTGTAGCCCACCCATTGGACTATGGGGCTTGCAAAGTGTAACATACGAAGGTTGGAAGTTGGGAGGAAAAAGAGAGTTTATTAGCCGCAAGTAAAATTTACAAGAGCTTCTTGAGAATGCTTGGCTAACAACCTCCCTTCTTCATATGACTCCTCCTATTTACAATTAAGGTCAACAACTCAAGATTTGGGTTCCAAAGCATTCTCAAGTAGTCCTCATATGTACACTTCTAGACTGCTCTCAATGCCTCCCTTTTAGCCTAGTTCTATACAATTTTAGAATTCTCTTACTTTAGAATTATGTACAAGGCCCTAGGAGCTTCTACACATGGGCTTGGCCCAACAAGCCCTTTCCAAACCATTGTCTGGTCTTCATTCCCACACACCTACCACTTCCGGAGAATCTTGGGCGACTCCAGATTATGCCAAGGTGTCGACACTTTTAGTCTACCTTATTTCTTCAGTGTCAATATGTCATTTGTTGACAAGGCATACCATCAAAACGCTCCACGATCCCTCTGTGCTCACTCTGCATATGTAAGGGTGTCAAGACCACGACGTTGCACTGTAATCCTAGTGTTGTGACCCTTAACTTGGGCTCCCAAACTCACACTCCATGACATTGTCCCCCATTGAAGCCCTTGATGCCTTTGTCAAGCTTCTTAGTCTTGTATGCCTCAATTGCACTCATAAACTACCACAAGTCCTCCTCACATTCCTAACTTACCTCACCATTAAGCTACTCTTCCCACCTAACCAAGTACTCCATGTGGTTTGGAACTCCCTATTGCCGAATGACTCGATCAAATAGGATCTCACTTACTTCCATGTCATACAATGTTATTGTGGCTGGTGATGCTCGTTGTGACACTCCTTATGCTGGATCTTCTGAGTCTCAATGAAATGGCTTGAGCATGGTCATGTGGAAGACTGGTTGTATCTTTAATTTTAGGGGAAGATTGACATGATATGATACCTTTCTTACCTTCTTAAGAATCATATAGGGTTCTTCATATCGATGCACCAGCCTCTTGTGAACTTGTCAATAGGCTTTAAACGACTAGACTGGTAGCTTCACCATTATGAAACCACCCACTCGGAGTTTAAACAACCATCGTTCTTTGTCTGCCCATTTCTTCATCTTTTTGGAAGCCTTGTCTAAGTAGAATTTAGCCACATCTAGTAGCTTCTGCCAGTTTTTCGCCTATTTATATGCTACAAGACTTGCACCAGCATACCCTCATGTCCATTGTTGTCAAAATCTAGATTTAAATCTTAAAATCTTACGATTTTACGATTTCAGTAAGACATTTCGTGTAAAATCTATACTAAAACCTGAAATTCATAAAATCTGAGGATTTCACGGTAAAATCAGGTGAAATCAGGTAAAATCTCGATTTTACTTTCTGTTTGATAGCTGGACTTTTAGCCTATTCCCTTTTGGCTTCTCATCTTGGGTTAGTGAGTTTTGACTAGATAACCCATAAATTAAGCTCATTTTTCATTTTAAAAGCCCACAACCCACACAACCCAACCACAAATCAATATTTTAATCAGGAATTCGAGATAAATTTGATTTAACCATCTAAAATTCTAAATTTAAGTCATCTTCTTCGTTTAATTTATTTGTGTTGTTGGATATTTAGATTTTAATTAGCTAATTTCAAGTTTCTAACTCTAAATTTG